ACAAACTCAACAGATGATTTCTAGTTCTGACACATGATGACACCCTGATCAGTGCCTACAGTCTTCCCCCGAATACAACGGACGGTCATTATAGCTGAATTTAGACTGAAAGATAGACCAAATTCAGCTATAATGACCGTACGTTGTATTCGGGGGAAGACTGTAGCCAATTGCTTGCTTTGATAACTACCGGTCAGTACGTTTCCCAGCAATGCTTTCAATGTTACGGCTTCCATGCAGGCGCAACTTTTGGGGCCCACCGGAGCAAAATGGCTGCCTCCGCCAGCCAAAAGGGAGGCCCCGGCCGATCCCTTTTTGTTTGTCGCACAGGGGGGTTCCATTTCCAGCCCTGGAGAAAAGTGCCTGGGAAGTGCTGGTTGGTGGGTTAAGCGGCTTAATCCACCACCACTGCCTCCGGGAACAGGAGGTCGCTCCCACGTAGTAATAGTTAGGCTTGTTTTGCAAACTGGCCCCTGTAAACCCGCCAATTGAACTTGAGATCTTATCTTCACCTCGCACCCGGTGGAGAGCAGGTTAATGGAGGCCTAAAATTTCACACAATTTGTCATGCCATTTATAACAAACCCCAAGGGTCATTTTAACCAAACTTGCGACCAATTCATAGAGTGCAAACCACACAGTTAAAACTTGAAAACATATAAAATTTGACCCCCAAGCCCAAAACCCTAATTTCAGTTTGGAACCCTTTAACCGAGGAGCTGTAAGTGGGGGTCCCTGTTAACCCCTTGTGCGGTCCCCACTGGTGGTTTGCGCATGCCAACAAAGCACAAACATGACCACTGCTAACAAAGCATTAAAAATAAATAAATAAATAAATAAATAAATAAATAAATAAAAACATGAACATCCCAGTCCAGCTAAGACCCTATAAAACCGACCCCCCCCCCGAAGCCGTAACGACGGCAACGTTTGATCCATGAGGATGGTTGTGCCCTCCACAGCCACAAGGCCCACAAGGCCGAAGAGCTGCCAGGCCATTCCACCAAGTCAACACCAAGACTCTATACGGAACTCAGCAGGAAGGCCATGAAAGGAACTCAGCAGGAAGGCAATGAAAGTAACTGAGCAGGAAGGCGATGAAACCAGGGGTTGAGATTGTGGCAAGATGGAAAAAAGCACGATTGGATGCCTGAAGGGGAGTTGGAAACCTGTGGTGAACAAAGTTGGCAGAGACTTCTTTCGTACGGCCGAATGGACATACCAGACCAAGAACGAAGTCAGGGCCTTCTATGGCTTTCTCATCGTGCACCTGCCAGTGGCGGTCCCGACGGCCGAATGGCAATCCATGAAGAGCCGCCACACCGACCCTCGCTGTCAGATGTGCAGGGAGGAAGTGGAGAACCTCCCTCATCTATTCCTCCACTGCAAGCAAGCGACCCCGGCTTCTGGGCGCAATGGCGACACCTGGCTAACGTCCATAAACTACCAATTATAGGGAAAGAACAAGGAGAAAAATGGATAGCAGAGGCCCTGCTAGGGACCCTCATTTCTGAGGGGAGAACACAAAAAGGTGCGCCTAGAGCAGTGGAAACAATGAGGGCGGCTGCTATTTTTACGGGCTCTCTAGTGCCGTAGGAATGAGGAGATTCGGGTTCGCGCAGGGAAGGCAACCTCTGGAACAGTTACTAAAATAATGGCAAACCACCGCTGGGATAGAGGGCTGGCACAAGGGCTTTATAAAAAAAAAGAAAAGAAAAGGAAAAAAAAAAAAAAAAAAAAAAAAAAAAAAAAAAAAAAAAAAAAAAGAGAACCTCACGGTGTCCGTGTTGGAACATGGACCCTTGTTGGAACATGACCACTGCTAACAAAGGACGAACGTGGACATGATAATGACCACGTTCATGCTTTCCGACCACAAACATTGCACCGCGGGCCGTGACCCTTAGACCCCCTGAATATCCCAATCGAACCCCTAATACAACTGCACCTTATACCCCTCAAGAATGCCCAGCCTTCAAGACTTCGACTCGAGTACTGAGCGCCCAAGCCGAAATCAACACCCTGTGTGTGCTGTTCAAATCCAGTTCTTGAGTACACCGCACCCTGCACATTATACTTTTCTTTCTTTTTTTTTTTTTCTTTTTTTTTTTTTTGGCTGCATTATCGCAACCCAACTGGATTTGAAAAACAATCCTGTCTAATATTTGAATACAGCACTCCCTGTAGTCGGGTAGTAATTGACGTTCGAACAGTACACGGCATTCCAAGCCCCCAATAGTGCAGCCCCAGAGATACCCCAACACATGGGCCTCAGTGACAAAGCCTGATCCCAGTCCTCGCTATGTATGGCCCTCGCTGCACTATTCAAGAATTGAGTAAAATGAGAATGAATCTTCTGCTAGAAAATGGGAAGATACACCACCATACTTTTCGTCTTTTGTGCATATTATGCGGTAAGTACTGGAGCGAGGCCCTATGTCTAAGCAGATCAATCATGGTTACCTTTTGCTTTGTTAAGGATTTACGGGTTGGGGTTTATGATTTGGGGTTTAGGGCTTAGGGCTTAGGGCTTATTCATCTGATTCACAGCAGGATTCGAACGCAGGTCTGTTTATCAAGCTGTTTTTTTCTTTTTCTTCTTTTTTTTTTGTTTATCAAGCATGGTTAGTTATTTGTTCTCTTTTGTTTTTCCAAAGCAGCAGTAGTAACTTCCGAGCCACTTTTTCCCAGGGCTCCAAACGCCTTGCGCACCAAAAGAAAACGTGTGGTGCGGGCCTCGTTTCTCTCTCTCTCTCTCTCTCTCTCTCTCTCTCTCTCTCTCTCTCTCTCTCTCTCTCTCTCTCTCTCTCT